TGCAATTTTGTTAACTATTATTGAAGGGGAGTCTTGCATTAAAACAGTTTCCATGGCGATGACACACATTTTACTTTCATTATTGTGTTCTGTGGTGCAGAGAGCACTAATAATAACACACGCCAATAACTTTAGCATCAACGCACGCTTATTTTAATACAGTAATCAAGACAACTAACAAGCAGCTGCTGTCAGGATAACAGGAATTGTTCTTTTTTTCACCTTCTGTCTCTGTCCTCACGCTCGAATTGATATTTTAACCTGCATATTTTAAAGAGACAGGTAGCTATTACAGCGTGTTTGTTGAAGCTGACTCATTGACAGGGAGAATATGTTGGGTAAGGGTTGTTTTGGAGGGTGGAGATGTACAGGAATGTATCTCTAGGCCTGTGTTTGACTTTCTGGGAATTCACCGGCCCATTTGGCGAAACTTTTGAAGCTTATGTGTAATGCATATTAACAGTGGTTGTGTTTATTGAGGCTTAGTCAGTGTACCTTGGAGTCTGTGGTGTTGTTTTAGTATTGTTGAGGTTCTATTACAAGATTAATATTTTGCATACATTTTTATGTTTTTTTTTTCCATTTGTATTTTAGTTAAAAGATTGTGTGTTTTTTAACATATTTAGTTAAAAAAATATATATATGTCTATATAGTTTATGAATTTTTATTTCAGGTTTAGTTATTTTAGTACAAGTTGAACTAAATTAAAATGAGGAATGTAGCTGAAATATTTTATATTTATTTTATTTATTTATTTTTTTCAGTGAGTAGTCTGTATAGCCTTTTATTTCAATGTTTTTAATTGTTTTAATTTCAGTTTTACTTTTAATTAACTATTTGACTAAATAAATAAATAAATAAAAAGAAAAATGTTTTTTATAAAATAAAATTAAACAAATAAAGAAATGAAATAAAATAAAATAAAATAATAAAAAATTCTGCCAGGACATTATCCATTAATTTTATGGACATTTCCATTAACCCTAAAACACAATCCAATGCAGTCCAAAATTCAAAATACAGGTAAAACACCTGTAAAAAAAAAAAAATGTAAATAAATAAAACGCCTGTAAAAAAATAATTTTTATGTTTTTTTGTTTTTTTTTGGACCAGAGTGTGGTCTGCAGCGGTATTATTTTAGTATTATTATACTTAAATGCTTTGAATTAGATTTTATTTTTTTATTTTGTGTTTATTTTAATTTTAAGAATGTAGTAATATTGTTGTTGGTTTGTTTGTAAATTGTATTCGTTTTTTATGTTTATTGTTTTAGTTATTTTAGTACTTAAAAATGTGTTTACTTGTCAGCTAGCTGATTTTTTTTATATATACAGTATATGTTTTATTTCATTTCTGTTAATGTTTGTTTTATTTAAAGTAATAAAACGTTCGTTAACAATAATAACCCCAGTCTGCAGGAGATGTTTGGCTGATGACAAACAATGTTATACTGAGAGCTCAGGTTTCTTTGTATTATAATCAAAGGGGCTTTTTCATGTCGTAATCTTGGGTTATGGCATTATTTGTAATTGTTGACTGGCAAATAAGCTCACGGAAGACCTGCTGACAAGTAATTTTGATAAATGGCCCTGTAAACTCCCATCACAAGCTCAGGCAAGTTCAAGAGTGAACTTTAAACAAACATTATGAGATGTTTATCAGTATTTTTTTGTCATGTTAAATGTCATAATTGTTACATGTCTTAAAAGTACACTGCCGTTTTCTTGTTATTGAAAGTATGCACCTTGGGCTGTAATTAGTGTTTTTATACGGTTCTCTCTCAATCTGTCTCCTTGAGCTTTCTTGTATCTTGACATTCTGTCCTTTTTTGAAATAATGAAAAAGTTTCATTCCATCTCATCAAAACAAAGGTTCTGTTGAAAAAAAAAATGGCTTCATTCGTTTTGATTGATGTCACAGATCCTCAAACCAAGTTTTATAGAACAAAAATATCATGAATTATTAAAACTCAGAGGCGTTTTAAAACATACGTCCGTGTTTTATGTTTAATTGGTCCTCTTTGGCAGCGGCGAGTGGTTATGTAAATATATTCCCACAGAGGCCCATTTGACATTTGTGGAGCACTTGAGCAGTATACGGGGAGCAAACTGACATACGGAAAACGTCCATTCTTTCTGATCTGATGAGACATGCTAGGATTACTCATGCAGATTTCAGTCTGTTGATTTTGCGAACAATCGGTGCCCTACCTGTGTGCGTTTTCCCCCTTCCTCCTCAAAAAGGCTTCTCGTCAAAGTGTGTTACTGGAAAATTGCATAATGCGATTTTCGGTGCTCTCTAATCATAGTGTCGTCCTAGCCAATTAAATTGCTAAACATAAGAAATCCTTTCTTTAGAAAAGGTTAGATGTTATTAACAGTGTGGATGTAGAGCTGGTTTCTGACCTCTTCTGCAGCCCAAAGCCAAATCTAATCAAGAAAATGTACATTGGATCCCTGCGTGATTAGCACGGCGCAGTGCGGCCCTTAAAAGACGGATATTTTGAGACAAACCTCGGTTGTGCTAATTGCAAGTAAAAGAGGGGAATACTGCAGGTCTTAAATGGGTCTTGAAACTGTTAACAAATCAAGTCTAATTGTTTTTCTTTTCAACAGACTGTTAATGAAAAGAGGCGCTTAACCTTCGGAAAATGTTATTCGTGCAGCTCAGGAGGTCAAACTAAATAACGAATTCATTTTTTAATCAAATAAAAGGCTGTTATGAAAATCGGGAATGTCTAAATACAGTGATTTGTGCAGTTTTGTTGTTTTAAATGTAAAAAACGGCACTTTAAAAATAAATGCTATTTAAAGGATGACAAACATTATATATGTGACCCTGGACCACAAACCAGTCATAAGGGTCAATTTTTCGAAATTGAGATTTATACATCATCTGATACCCCAGCGACTTAAAACAAATCTACACATCACCGTTCAAATGTTTGGGGTTGTTTTTTTTTTAAATCAATACTTTTATTTAGTAAAGATGCATTCATTTAATTAAAAGTGACAGTATGAATATTTATAATGTTGCAAATGATTACTATGATTGCTAACTTTCTATTCATCAAAGAATTAATAACCTCAAAAATATTAAGCAGTACAACTGTTTTCACCATTGATAGTAATAAGAAATATTTCTTCAGCACCAAATCAGCATATTAGAATGATTTTTGCAGGATCATGCGATATTGTAATAATGAGCGTGTGACCAGTGGCAGTTGGGGCAAGAAACCCGTTTGAAAACAATCATTATTTTTGCAGTTCCATTTGGCGATGCTAGTGTTGCAGAAATTACATGTAAAAGATGCGTTTATGGCTTTCAGCAGCAGAATGTTTGCGGTCGTTGTGTGTGAATAAAGCTAGTTCTCTCCAAGGACACCATCGTTTGAGGTTTGCAACTCGCATGTCATATTACGAGAGCTTGTATGCCGAGATGTCAGGTTTTTGAGGTTGAGAGATGCGATGATACTTTGAATCAGCCGAGAGTTTTTTTTTTTCGAGTTCTGATGGGAAGACTAACAGGCGAATGCTATTGCTCAGATCTCTGATCTCCAAGAACTGAGTGACGTGGCTTCCTGCCCAGAATCTTTTATATTGCCAATCCTAACAGAGAGCTGTCATGTTAAACCAGCAGCTCAGGCTGTAGTAAAACATAATAGCCCACAAATCTATATCCGGACCCCTGGGAGCAGCTCTCCTCCATTATAGAATAAGATTAGCTATATGAAGTCACAGCGCTTCGATTTGGGTTGAATTATCATAACTGCGAAACTAATGTTAGAGAGCATATGATTCATCAATGGTCTTTGTGCTGTATGCCATTGTGTAGCCTTCTGACTCATCGAATTATGTCAAACATTGTCTTTGAAATAAACAATAAAAAAAATGAGTTGGATTGAGTTGATGTCATGAAATGATGGTATGAGAGTGCAGTAACCACCGTTTTCATTTCATGGAAAGAATAATATCGGAATCAATGGTGTAAATAATAGTTTACACCTGTAAATGTGTAAAACTATGAAATATAAAGTGAGCACAGGCTCACCGTCTTGACATTTACTGTTCTGCTTGAATTTGTTCTAAGTGCACTGGAAATATTGTCACTCAGAAATTGCTAGTAAATTTCAGAATTAATTACAAAGAAATGGCAAGTAACACATTAAATTAAGCATTGAAATGTTAACGTAATAAGACTAAAATAGCATTTAAAAAAAAATATATATATATTTCAATAATGTTTTATTTACAACTTTAAAACTTGATTTATAACTTTACAGCTTTTATGTACAACTTTGTGCGTGAATTTTAGTGAAAAGTATCCGTTTTAACTAGTGCAATCGCGATTAATCGCATCCAAAATAAAAGTTTTTTTTTTACCTTATATATGTGTATATTTATTATGTATATATAAATACAAACACATGCATGTATATATTTAAGAAAAATATGTTATGTTTATATATTAAATATATTTCTATATAATATAAAATATAAGAATATGAATATATAAATGTATAAACGTAAATATTTTCAAAATATATACTGTATGTGTTTGTATTTATATATACATAATAAATATACACATATATAAGGTAAAAAAAAAACTTTTATTTTGGATGCGATTAATCGCGATTAATCGTTTGACAACACTAGTTTTAACATTAAAATAGAGAGCGAGGTAAGATGGAAGTAGTGAAACGTTTAATATTTGACAACTGCTTTATGATATAAATGTTAAACGTCTAGTAATATCCAGTAATGCAAACTCAAATATGGCCGTTTTGGATTTAAAATGTAATATCATTTATGTGATTTATATAATTCCTTACTGAATGTGACGAGGCAAGAAACGTTTTGCATTTTCGACATATTAGGCATACAAATAAAAGTGCATGTGTCAACTATTCTTTCAAATATTAAGATAAGTTGCTTTTTGTGTGCCAGAAATAACAGTGTTCTCTTTTAAAAAATGAATTGTACTTTCTTGTGTTTAGGTGAGGATGTGGAGGAGAAGAAAGTTCTGGTACTGAGTTACCCTCAATACTGTCGGTACCGCTCCATCATCGCGCGGCTTCGTGAGCGGCCCACCTCCTTCCTGACGGACCATGTGGTACTGGCCCTGGGGGGAATCGCCTCCCTCACCAACAACACCCAGATCCTGTACTGCAGGGACACTTTTGAGCACCCCACGCTGGTGGAGAACGAGAGCGTGTGTGATGAATTCGGTGAGTAGATTTTAAAGAAACGGTATAGTGTGAAACAAACTCTACGCAAGTATGTGATTTCACATACACATGTTTTTGTGCGTTGTTTTATTCTTTCAGGTAGAGATTGACCAGTATTGCATTTTTATGACTGATAGCGATATAGATTGTATTTTTATATTTAGAGTAGGGCTGTGCAATTAATCGCATGCCATTGTCAAGCGCATCTCATCAGTAAAGCCGGTTCCGTGATTGGTAGTAAATCACCATCACCTTGCATGCGATTAATTGCACAGCCCTAATTTAGAGTTATTGTTTGATAACCAGCATGCAGAAGTCATTTGTAATTAATATCTGTTTTACTATAGAAAAATATTAATAATTATTATTTGATTACTGTTTTAATCATTATATTTATGATGAATTGCAGATTTGTTTCCATTTTTGTCAAATATTAAGCTCCAGATTTCAAACTTAAGAATGATTACCTGTTTTTTAAAAAGTGTAATATTTTTTTTTGTACAGTCCTATTAAATGGTGCTATTTAGACCTGATAATAAATAAGCAATAGCCGAAGTTGAAAAGTGTGGAAATCTGTAAAAATACTGGTCAAACTGATCAGTTTAAAGGTAACTTGAGATTTGTTACTCCCACAATAATGCAAAAATTAATGTTTAGCATTACAACACTACCACTAGGGTTGGGTGTCATTTTAATTTGATCAATTCCAATTCCGATTTCGATTCTGCATATCAATTCCGATTCTTATTGATTCCCATTTTCGATTTCAATGTGGTTTAAAAAAACGAAGTCAAACATTTAGATATCAAACATATTTATTTTATGTGTCTTTTTGCAAAAAATTTAATTGCTGCTGAATACCATGAGTAAAAATCAGCCGGCTACATAAAAACTGGACTCGATTAAAAGTTGTTTGTGTGCAAAATAGAGCTGCGTGATTCTGGATAAATAGAGACTTTTTTTTTTTAAATGGAGGTTGTAGTTCTCTCACAATTCTGAAGAAAAAATATTAGACAACTAAACAAAATCTCATGGAATTTATGAATGGAATGATTTAGTGACTCACTCGAGATTTACTTGTTTCATTAGTGGATGAATCAGTGTTTTTGAACGAATCTCTTGAATGAATGATTCAAAGACAAATACATTTTTAACAGCCACTTTTCGCCAGCTAAAAATAAAAGGTGCGAATAGGCGGAATTGAAATTTTAATTTTACACCAAGTATCCGATTCCTGACCTTAAGTATACCGTAAGTATTCGGGAATTGGAATTGATTTTCGATTCCCAACCCTGACTACATTCTTGCAATGCACCGACCAAACATTTGCATACTTGTGTAAAGTATGTTTCTGACCTTACCGTTTAGAGGCTGATTACTGCTTATTTATTCATATAAAGATTCATTGCATTGGCATAATTGAGTGAAGAAAGAATGAATGAATGGAGGATTGATGGCTAATGATTCAGTAATTGAGTCTGTGGTCCCAAATAAGACCCTCGTCTTCATTACCTGACTGACGATGGGCTGCTGTATGAGCGCAAGCAGCTTTCTCTGTTGGTGTACAAACAGGAAAGAGTGACTTTGAGCTGGTGATTGAAACAGACACTCGTGGCTTTTAGCCTGTCGAGTTGAGAGTCGAGAGCTTGTTGTATGATAGAGTAGAACTCTCAGATGAACTGAAAGCCTGTTTTTACACAGGTCTGAGTCCGTCACAGTCCGCCTGCTTGTGTCAGTAACTTATTTTTTCAAAAGGGCTGCTGTGATATCCAAAACAGCGATTCGTCCCACTTTTGGCTGACGGTTAGAAAACCTCAACTGTGCATGTAATTACTGTCTGTAAATGGCGGTCTTTCTCCGATCTGTTTACATTCACTCAAAAATGAAAATTCTGTCATCATTTACTCACCCTCATGCCATTTTAAACGTATATGAGTTCCTTTGTTCTGTAGAGCACAAAAGAAGATATTTTGAAGAATGTTGGTAATTAAACAGTTGCTGGTAGCCATGGATTTGCAAAGTAGTTTCCATATTATGGAAGTCAATGGCTAGCGTCAACTGTTTGGTTACCAACATTCTTCAAAATATCTTATTTTGTGCTCTACAGAACAAACTCATACAGATTTAGAGCAACTTGAGGGTAATGAGATGAGAGTAAATCCCTTTAAAGCAGTGTACATTTTCTGAATGAAAAATGCTATTTTCTATTTTCTGCACTGATTTTTATTTTTTTTGATAAATCTGTGAGATTGTATTTAAATGTATTAAAATATGTTAAATGGAGCTGTACTGAGAGTTTGTGTTTGAATGCCATATTCAAACAACAGTGGGTTTGCGTGCAGTTCGCTTTTCCATACATGCTGCCAGTTAAAAAAAGAGAGGCTCCAGTTTACGTGCATGACTTCCTGTTGGAAAAATGCTGGGTTACTGAATGCTGTTTTGTAAAAGACGATAGAGCTGTTTACATAATAGCAGTTGACAAGATGGGTGAACAAACTGACAGTGAGTAATACAAGTGAGTAAATGGCTCCCAATGACTTTAATGGATGTCCTTGGGCTTCTCTGATTGCTCCAAAACACAGTTTTCTGCTCAAAAACCATGCTCTTGTCTCTGAAAGTTTGACATGAGGGGTCCTGCTCGAATCGGACAGCCTGCAGGGATTTGAATACCCAGATTAAAATGTCTTTGTTCTCGCCAGGGCTTTAAACACAACCACAGCACGCTGTATTGAAACCCAAAGAAGTCGTTCTGTTAAACTTCGTAGGGTGTTATTTATTAAGGCTTTAGTTCAACATATGAAGTCATTGTAAAGGCTCCCATACACTAGATTTGTTACAGCGGGGTAGATCTGATGTTGGCCATTTCTGAAGCCGAGAAAATCTGAGAGAGAGTAGGGGGAAAAAAGACTTCTAGTGCTTTTTATGCTCGAAGTGACGGCTACTTGGCGGAAAATCTTCTGCGTTTAGTCTTGTCATTAAGTTTTTGAAGCGAATAACAGTGCTTCCAAGGGCTTGGCGATGAAGAGGGGAGTTCTACAGAACTGAGAGAGGTCCAGTGCATTATAGAAGAAAGATGAAAATGGAAAGCAGCGCTATTTAAGGAAAAATACAGCTGGAATGGTGCATATTTTTAGTCATTTGTTCCTCTGTTAATGGAAATAACTGCAGGGTTTGGCTCGCTTGCATGCCTCTTTGGTCACATGTTAGGAGACAACAGGATGTTAAATTGACTCAAGTCTTATCCTCACTTGAATGGACTTTAAGAGGGTGGTTGGGGATTGAGAATATGGAATTCAATAAGTGATACTGGGGATTTTTGTTCAGGCATCAGCTGATTTGGAGCCCTGCTTGTCACATGGTTATGATAACATCCACTCCGCTACACCATTTCAGAACAATGCTGTTAACATTTCTGTTTTCTTTCCTGTCCTATTAAAACAGGACATGTTTGTTATTAGATGTTATTAGATGGTGAGGCATTCTCGTTGATTGGACAAACATTTGCTTTTATTATATATTATATTACCTCTTATTAGGAGGGTGGAGATTTTTACAGAAAAATTAAGTAGTTCATTGATATACTACTTTTTACATTTACATTGTTTTCATTTAATGTTTTAGTAATTTGATGTTGAGATATATATATATATATATATATATATCAACAAGTTTTAGTTTTTATTTTAGTTTTAGATTTAGTACTTCAAATTAAAGTAGACAAAAAATGAGAAATGTTGGCTCGTCATCTAGCTGAAGAAAATCTTTTACGTTTTTTAAAATATATTTTATTTAATTTCTATTAATGTTTATTTCAAGTACTATAAAAGCTTTTTATGGTTTTAGTTTTAGTTAGATATTTATTTTACAGGTAATTAAAATAATATTAGTCGTCTTGTTTTTTGTGAGAATTTTTTTCAATCTCTCTCTGACCCTAACCATAAAAATGGACATCTTTTGCTACTGTATCTTTTCACATTCAAATTAGTGACTTTTATCTGCACCATCCTTAAGTAACCACCACTAAAGCTGCATTACATCGCGACGGATTCACAAAACAATATGTGTTGAAACAGGGGCGTAGCCATCATTTCAGAAGTGAGGGGGACAGAAATGTTATATATATAAAAAAAAATACATTACAATATAACATTTCTGTAATCTATATAACCTACCAGTCAACAGTTTTTGAACAGTAAGATTTTTTATGTTTTATAAAGTCTCTTCTGCTCACCAGACACGTCCCCCGCGTCCCCCGCGTAATCTACGCCCCTGTGTTGAAATGTGTTACTCAAACTGTTGATATTAGACCAAAATTATCAGAGATTTTTTTTTTTTTAAATAACTTGAACAGCATGTTTTTATTGCTGGGATTCTTCTGCGGGATCTGCAGAGCTGTAGGTGCTACACACAGCCAGAAACAGCACAAGGTTTGACTGAATTTACCACATTGTACTCGCTAGTTTTTCTGCTGTTTAGGAACAAAAGTATCTATCCTACTTCCTCCTTATTACCTTAACACCAAATAAGTGTTGTTGGTTTGTAAGTGTTGGAGGTCATATTTACGTATCCAGCTGACAGCAGGAAGTTCAGAGTTTCAGAGCTAGTCATTTTTGTAGCTCAGTTTCAATAGATGCTCTTTTTGGACTAGGGTGGACGTGTTTTGAGTTCTGAAAGTTACTGTATGCTTTCGTAGTCTAATGAACTCTTTTATCTCAACAGATCAAGCAAAACTCAATTCCTCGTGATATGACCCTTTTAGTAGAAAGACACTGCCAAATCCTTCCCCACAAAACAAGGGAGAAGAAAAGACAGAGAGAAAGAAAGGGGGAAATACTTTTATCTGGATGTAAGGGGTTTGGAGAGGGTGGTGGGGGGGATTGTACTGGTGAATTATTGAAGAGAGTTTATAGGTTGATGCCATGTAATGGCCACACTATTATTCCTCTCTCTTGATTCATTTCCTACCTCTCATGAGGTTCTTTTTAGGAGGCCAGTGTTAT